GTCAGCAAAGTTGCAGCGTTTGTCGAGATGTAAAAGAAACCGCCATAAAAAGTTGGGAAATTCAACAAAGTTCAATGTCAACAAATAGTCATCAACAACGGTGAGAGATGGCGAAAAAGTGCACATCAGCAACGTTGCAGCGTTTGTCGAGATGTAAAAGAAACCGTCATAAAAAGTTGGAAAATACAACAACGTTCAATGATAACAATTTCTTATTAACAACTTTCCAATTGCACTACAAACGTCGACATACGAATACAAACGATTGCATATAGGAGTCATTTAAAAATACGTTCAGTCGGCGTCAAGTATGAGCGAATGACATGTGCTACGCATACGCAGCATTTTTCTATGCAATTATAGGCCTGTTCTTTATTACCGCACTACTGAACTAGTGCAACAAGTTAAAATGAAACAAATAGATTACCTCTCAAGCCTATCACACAATGCCAGGCAACAGGCAACAGGAACAGGGAATAGAATTTTTGACGCGTTGGATTCGTCGGAAATTTTCCTTCAACCAATCCAACGCGTCAAAAATTCTATTCCCTATTCCTGTTGCCTGTTGCCTCGCATTGGCTGCGTTCGGCAGGAAAAGCTGCTTTGCAACTGTTGTAAAATTCGTGAATCTGATTGGTGTGTCCTCTCAATCTTGTGTGAATTTTAGAGCATACGCCAATCAGATTCATGAATTTTACAACAGTTGCAAAGCAGCTTTTTCTGCCGAACGTAGCCATTGTGTGATAGGCTTCATTCCAACTCATTGCACCAGTGCGCACTAGTTCAGGAGTGCAGCAATAAAGAACAGACCCCATGTCCTCGCTTGCACTAATTTAGTTCAGTGCAGTGCAATATGAACTCGTGCAGTAATAAAGAACAAACCTTGTGTGAATTGTAGAGTGTAGAGAGTTGTTGATTCATTTTTCTCTTCATATATCTCTGGCACACACGTTTCACTGTGAATTTGATATAATTACGATGTCCGATGAATCCGAATTTGATGTGGAGCCGGAAGAAGTTGATATTTACAAAAGAAAATACCAACTACTGTTGGAGAGATGCGAAGTTTTACAACAGGTTAAGTTTCTCCCTTCTGGAACAAAGTCATTGTCAGCGGTTTTTATTTTCTTATTTCCAACTATATAGTATTCTTTAAACGATAGGAAAATGAAAGATTGGTCTACAGAATCCAGAAAGTGAGGAAGCTTCTACGACGCACGAGAAAAGAGAAAAGGTTAGTTTTGTAGGTTAACTTGGATTGCTTGATGTCGATAGTTGAGGAAACTATCATCTAATTATCTATTTTCGTCGTCTGTGTTATCGCTTGTAGATTCTTGATCGATCGATTGGATCGACATGGAGATCGTTGGCGGGAAGTTCCGATGGGTGTGCTCGAGGAGAACAGTGTGTTTCAAACGACTCCAAAGTCAGAGAAAGGGGGGAAAGGTAGCTCTCATAACGCTAAAGAGGAGAAGCCTAGGAAGGGAACGAAGAGAAAGGGCGCGAAAGCTGATCCAAATGCACCAAAGAGACCCGCTAATCCTTTCTTTCAATTTTGTCAAGAGCAAAGACCACGTGTTATGGAACGTTTAGCAGGAGAGCCGGAGCCTAGTAAACAAGAACTTACTAGACAGCTTGCGACCACTTGGAAATCTCTCAGCTCTGAGGATAAAAAAGTAAGGTCTATTTCGCGTAATATTGACATAGACCTTTGCCTTTGTTGACCTTTGCCGTTTCAGATATATTACGACATGTATGAGAGATCCAAGGAGAAATATGTTGCCGAGATGCAAATATATAACAAGAAGACTGAGGAAGCGCCATGTCAAATGCCGCTAAATATAACGTAATATTAAACCATTATCCAGTATTGGTCCACTTGTGATCGCAGCTTTGTAAGGATAGTAACTTTGTAGACGTTTACAGGTAACTTTGCGTATCTGCTCTCGATGACGCGTCAGCTAGTATGATGTATGATGTATGATGTCTGATGTCGAGAGCAAGACTAAAGAGTCGAGATAACGTAGAGATGTTTACAGTGAAGGGGAAACGTAACGAGCAAGGCTTACATTATTAACGTAGCGTTTTAATACAGTTTAGATTTGTGTCGTTGTAAATACTTGATAAATATAAAAAGGTAAATGTTTCGTCTGAAAAGTTAAGCTTTAAAATGATCCTTTTCGCGCCTCAAGTACGACATTGTCTGAACGGGATCATTTTGTTGCGCGTGTTTCATAACGGGCGACTCGTGCACTCTCATAAACGGATTTGTCAGCTTTTCGTCCTTAATAGTGCTGGGCACTGTTGGAAGATTATTAACACGTTGGGTATGCACCAAATCCAATTTTTGTTGAATCGCCGCGTTTTCGGGTTCCACGTGTAAGCCGAACTTGAGATTGTTGGCCGTATACTCGTGTCCGCAATACACCTTCTGCAAGATATACAAACGAGGTTTGACGATAATTATTATACAATATTACGCGAGTAACTTACCGTCTCTTCGGGTAAAGAGCCTAGAATTTCGACGAGCGCCTTGTACATTTGTTCCGCTGTACCCTCGAAGAATCTCCCGCAGCCTCCAGCAAAGAGTGTGTCTCCTTTGAGATTAAACACGAGTTACATTCGAGTGTGCACACTGCAGATATTTCTCTTTATTAGACATTTACCTGTAAATACGGACGGCGAGTGTTGTTCTCTACCTCCTTCACCTCCCGTAACGTAGTAACAAACGTGCCCACGCGTATGGCAGGGTGTCGCGAGACACTTGACCGACAAATTGCCAATATTAAACGTGTCGTTGTGCGTAATTTTACAATTAATTGCCTCTATTCTATCATCGCCGCCATATATCGCGAGATCAGCGAAGCTTTTCGACAGTTTGGCATTCCCACCGGCATGATCCCAATGATGGTGAGTGGTTAGAACCTTGGTCAATTTGACGTCGTTTTGTTGGACGGCTGCAATTACAGTTTCCGGATCGACAGGATCTACGACGGCAGCCTCCTTCGTCGCTTCGTCGATAATCAAGTACATGTAATTGTCTTGAAGCGCTGGTAATATGTGCACTTTCATATTGGAATGATCCACCGTTGCGCTCAGGCTGTGCGCTCTACCGTTGGAAGAAATGCCCTTTACTGAAACATTTCGAGAAGATGTGATTTATAGTGGCAGATATACGTAAGGCTGAAAGCGGTAGCGACGGAAGAGTGGACAAGTATACATACAACGTACCCTTAAAATACATGGACGTGAGTTTATTCTCGAGCCACGTTGGACACGCACGTAGTGCAACTTGACGAAACATGATGACAAGAGCAAAAGAGGGAGGAAGGTTATTTACTTGGTTATTTACTTTGTGCGCGCAAAATCTCCTTGCTACTTGCCTAATGAGATACCAAGCAGTCCTGACATACGCGAGGAGGTGCCGTACCGTGGAAGAAGAGAGAAGTCGACGCACTTGTCGAGGGGAGAAACAATTTACCGCGTGGTAAATGCAGTCGTAGTTGGCAGTTGCGATCATCGCGGTTAGAGGGCAGTGCGAGCGATACACACCGGCAACGTGATCGTGTAGGTTAGGATCGCTATTCAATAATCTATTCGATATTCGTTGTTGAAATAACGTAACGATATTTGACGAGCGAAATGTCGAGCGGCAACACGAGAGAGATCATTACGATAGACGACGAGGAAGACCAAGGTGGGTCCATCGCAACTTGCATTGCGATGTCATTTGTCAATAATTGCAACAATTTTCAGCCACGGAGGAGGACGGCGAGATCGCTGCGATTGATTACGAGCTGCAGCAAATAGAGAGCGAGCTGCAAAAGTTGCAGGATCGCAAAAAGTTGTTGACGCAACGCAAAGACAAGTTGCGCGACGATGCTCTCTTGGTAAAGAGCGTCTCCCTGTCGAAGAGAAATTGGAACAAGGAAGATTTCCCTTGGTCCGCGAAGCTGAGGGAAACGCTTAAGGACGTATTCGCGATCGAGAGGCTACGAGAGCTACAGCTACAGACTATGAATGCAATCATGTCCAAGGAAGATGCAATACTGATCATGCCTACGGGCGGTGGTAAGAGCTTGTGCTATCAATTGCCAGCCGTGATGAGCAAAGGCGTAACGGTGGTTGTCTCGCCGTTGGTATCCTTGATGGAGGATCAGCTGCACGGATTGCACAAGCTCGACGTAAAGGCCGACATGCTGTGCACAAAGGCCGGCAAGGAGAGGGTCGACGCGATTATGACGGCCCTCGCGGACAAGACCTCGTCGCTCAAGCTGATTTACGTAACGCCCGAGTACATGGCAAAGTCGAACCGCTTTATGAACAAGCTGCAAAAGGCATACGAGCTGGGCCACCTGGAACGGTTCGCGATCGACGAGGTACACTGCTGCAGCCAATGGGGCCACGACTTCAGGCCCGATTACAAGTTTCTCGGAGTACTCAAGTCCATGTTCCCCGGAGTGCCGATTCTCGGGCTCACCGCGACGGCTCCGGCCAAAATTATCGTAGACGTGCAGAAGATGCTGGATATTAGGGGCTGCCTGGTCTTGCGCGCCTCGTTCAACAGGCCGAATCTATATTACGAGGTTCGCCGCAAGCCAGCGGACAAGGTGGCGTGCCTCGCGATGATAGAGAATCTGCTCAAGAGTCGCTTCGGCGGCAAGTCTGGAATCATTTACACAACCACGATCAAAGACGCGGAGCAATTGACCAGCGACTTGAGAGACAGAGGCCTCAAGGTCGGATGTTACCACGCGATGCTCGAAGCTGACTATCGCTCGGAGGTCTATGCGAAATGGATGTCGGGCAAGTATCAAGCGGTAGTGGCTACTATCGCTTTCGGATTGGGCATCGACAAGCCGGACGTGCGATTCGTCATTCATCACTGCGTGTCAAAGTCGATGGAGAATTTCTACCAGGAGAGTGGCCGAGCGGGTAGAGACGGCCGTAAGTCGGTGTGTCTGGTGCTCTACAGATTGGCGGACGCGTTCAAATTGAGCACCATGGTGTTTCATCATCAAAATAAGGTCGGCCTGCAGAACTTGTACAAGGTAGTGGCCTATTGTCTGGACCAGACGTCCTGTAGGCGGAGCTTAATAGCGACGCACTTTGAGGAGAGCTGGCAGGGAAGCGACTGCGCCAAGATGTGCGACCACTGTAGGAAGCCTAGCGTGAAGAAGCAAGTGGACATTGCGCGATATTGCAGACAATTGTATCAAATTATGACTAAAGCTGTGCAAAACCAAGTACGACTGACCACGCTGAAACTCGTCGACGCTTGGTATGGCAGAGGTGCGTCGTCGTTACGGGTGCCTAGCGTGCCGGTGCCAAGCTTTACGAGAGAATGCGCGGATGCTATCATAGGGCATTTACTGATAAACGGTTATCTGCAAGAGGACTTTCACTTTTCAGCATATTCGACGATATCGTATCTTAAACGCGGACCGAAATCGGGACTGGCTGTCGACAACGATCACAAGATACTCTTCAACTACGAGCTTTGTTAATTTCTCTTAAAAGTATTGGTAAATGCGTGAGTGAAATGAAGTGAAATGAGTGAGAGTAGTAACGAGTCAGCGAAATGTCGGCGGGTCGGGTAGTAGGACAGGCGCGGTATGTTCCGCGATCAAATTCAAGTATTGATCTAGGATAAGCCCGCGTTTCTCCTATACATTGTTAATGAACTAAGCCATCGTGGTACAATTGGAGCCGAGATGGAAAACTTGTAGAGCAGCAAGTACGCGTCTGCGGATTTTTGCGGATTTCATCGAAATGAACGTACTTGCGCGCGGCGTCGCGACGGCGACGACGACAACGACAACTGCGCGACCACTGCGACGGCGCTCGCGCACTAAGCAGTGACGCTTGAACGTCAGCGATTTAGAAACAGGTAGAAAGAGGTTGACTGATCCCAATTTCGTTCATGCGCCCCGAGAAAATGTTTCAGCGGTACTAATTCGAAAAATGGCGGAGGATAAGGCTGCGTTGTCGCGCGAGCCAACAACGAGACGGGATGCGCACCGCGTCACCGCGACGTTCCGTATGTAACGAGGCTAATCGAAGCGACAAGGCCGTCTATCGACGATACGTTACACGGAAGGACTACGGGGCGAATCCATGCAAGAGCCGGTGCTTTTTACTCACCGGATTATGCACACCCTTCGTCCTACGCTCTCCGCCAATTGGCTCCGTTCGCAACGTCGATATAGCCCGGGCCGTGTCTGGAAATCTCGCGAGTAAGTGGCAAGGACTTGAACTTTAAAACAAACGCTTCGTTACACGTGTGATTTTTACAGCAAGTTCCTAACGTAATCGACAATGCCTCTCCCAAACATTTTGAGAAAAGCGAGCAGCTACATCCTTGGCGAGTGCGGCCAGGACAATCGACGCGTCATTTATCAAGACGGTGAGGCGCTATTCTGCAAAAATAACGTCTGCGTGCACCCACCTACGTTAATGAGACAGCACGCCGACGTGGTCCATCATCCCGGTTATATGACTATAACTTGCAAGTTGAACAAAAACTCCAATTTGCCGACCCTGCACCTAAGTTGGATACCCAACAGCACGTTGCGCAAGCATCCTACCGCACTGGAGAATCTGAGCGGCAGGAACTCTGCCGCGACCTCCCCGCGTTCGCGTTCCCGAATCCCCGACAAGACATCGCTCAACGTTTCGGACGCTGTGAGACACGAGCTCGAGAACGAGAATGAAAACGAAAACGAGAATGAAAACGATACCGAGAATACCGAGAATACCGAGAATACCGAGAACGATAACGGAAATGGGAAACTAGACGTGTGCTTGGAGGCCAAGGAGCCCGTCGACTGCGGCGACTGCGAACGCGTCTGCTCCGGTTCTGGCTACCGTTTCGGCTATCATTTTCTACGCCGTCGAGATCCAGCCACGGTCGAGCGCGACGATGAAAATGCCAAGACCGAGACCGAGAGCGCGACCGGGGCCGCGGCCGAGCCCGAAACCGGGAAACGCGGTCCGAGCACGGATTCGGTAGATTCGAGCGGCGACAAGAATGGAGATTTGAAAGAGCGGGACAACGACGAGGAGCCGCGCTTCTCCTTCCGCGACGATACGAGCGTCAAGAGTCGCAGCTTGTCGTTAACGTCCACGTGCAGCTTGTCAATCTCGGTACCCACCGACGGTACGTAGAAAAGATTGTTACTGCCCTTTAAGCGGTAAATTAATCACGTTGTTGTTTGCACAGCGGAAGAAGCGCCGTCGTGGATGAGGTCGCCGGAGCTCTTGGCGCTACAGCACAATCTTGTCTTTCCCGAGAGCGCGACCGCGTCGCCCGTCACGCTACGCAGAGCGCATCGATGCAGGAGATTCTCGGTCGATCTCGGCGAGATGCGATCCTTGAGACTGTTTTTCGCCGATCCTGCGTGCACCTGCGGTCAGCTGGTCGTAGCGAGCAGAGAGAGCCAATACAAGATCTTGCATTTCCATCACGGCGGCTTGGACCGGCTAGCCGCCACTCTGCACCAATGGCATCAGTTGCTTTATCCGCGCTTAAGCACGGACACGGAGGAGACTCTGCCGTACAGGTCAGAGCACTTGAATCGGATTATTACTCGATGAAATTAGAATTGCGACGTAAGCGATCCATGTTTCGCCAGGCATTTCATGGTATGCCGGCCGGAAGTGAGCCGAGACGAGCTGCATCCCGAGGAGGGTCAAGTGCCAATGATCACGTCGCTAGTCTGGAAAGATTTGCTGAATGAACGGGGCCAAGTGGAGGATGACCTTGCTCTTCGCAAGGGCATCTTTCTCGGTGGTTTGGAACCGGCACTGCGAAAGATCGTCTGGCCTTTCCTGTTGCATTGTTATTCCTATCAGAGCACGTACGAGGACAGAGAGCAGATCGACGCCATTAGACGGCAAGAGTACGAGGAGATAGAGAGACGCAGACTGAGCATGAATCCGGAGCAAGCCGAGCATTTCTGGCGAAACGTCGTGTGCATAGTGGAGAAGGATGTTGTCCGCACGGATAGGGCTAACCCGTATTACGCCGGTGAGGGTAATCCCAACGTCGAAGTAATGAAGTGAGTCACTTGATCTAACGATAACGGTCTTCCCTCCAATTTATATACTCCAATTTATATACTCGTTTCCCACGCAGGAACATTTTACTCAACTACGCGGTGTACAATTGCCGCTTGGGTTACACTCAAGGAATGTCCGATCTCCTAGCTCCGTTGCTAGCCGAACTCAACTCCGAGATCGACGCCTTCTGGTGTTTCGCCGGTTTGATGCAGAGATCGGTAGCCGTGTGCACTCCGACCGACACAGACATGGACAGAAATCTGTGTTATCTTCGAGAATTGGTAAGAATCATGGTGCCAGATTTTTATACGCATCTGGAAAGGCATACGGATGCCTTGGAGCTTCTATTTTGCCATCGATGGATACTCTTGTACGTACAATCGTGTGTAGACATACGTTGACATACGTCGACTCTTTGTCTCACCTTCCTCCTTGCAGGTGCCTGAAAAGAGAATTTTCAACCGAGATTGCACTGGTTATGTGGGAAGCCTGCTGGGTCAATTACTTGACGGATCACTTCCACTTGTTTCTTTGTCTCGCAATAATGTGCGTTTACGCGGACGACGTGATTGCCCAAGATCTCCGAACGGACGAAATGTTGCTGCATTTCAGTTCATTGGCCATGTATATGGACGGGAATGTTATACTTCGAAAGGCGCGAGGCCTGCTTCATCATTTCCGTCAGCTTGTGCGCTTACCTTGCACGTTAGCCGGACTGTGCCGACAATGTGGTCCAGGAATGTGGGACAGCGCGCACGATCCGGTAATAGAGTGCGTAGGCCACGAGGATACTCACTGTCCCTATTTAAATAATTACGAGTAACCAAGTCACTAATTTGTAGAAAGAAGGAGGGGAGAGATCAGTATTACTTGACGTACGAATTAACTTGAATTTTGCAAGTCAAATTGTTAGATTAATCGAATCCTTGTTCTACACGGATTTTCTTTACTAATAAACCTTGATTACTAGTCTATAAGGGATTTCCTGCAAAAATTACTAATATTTATCGAGTCTAGCCATAATGCTCTCTAAATCTACATGCGAGTAAATTCGATCGTTACACACCACACACATATGTCACACGCGACGATATGCATCTTTATTCTTGTATGTTGAAGCACTTTTTCGATTGACCAACAAAGACAAAGATATATTAATTGTAATAACCTACGTTATACACATTGTTATCTCGATTTAAGCCAATGCCACAAAACACAAAGACATATCTCAAAATCCAATTTCAAATCGAGTTGACTTGAAGTCGATTTCTAATAAGTAAAACTCACTGATCGTATATCAATCGATAAATATCTCTGCAGTATTCGCAATGTTAAAGACTGAAAGAATGAAAGAAGAGGATAAACGAGAGAGAGAGATAGCTACCAGCGATCTAGTCCAAGCAGGGAGCTTGTCCGCTAAAAACCAAAAGGAGAATTCAAAAAGGAGAAATCAAATTGCACACGAGAACACGAGAGAAATGCTATTTATTATGTAAATACAAGTAGCCGAATCGTGCAGGGTATAAATCAATAGTAGCGTATATACCTTCACTCCAAAGTGTTCACTTCTCGTACGCGTATGTATGCGGTAACTCCACATGAAAGAAAACAATGTAAAAGAATAGCGTAGAGCTTTCACAATAATTCCTTTTTTTCCTTCACTATAATTGCTGAACTTGACGCCAGACTTAACGGTTGAAAATTCAATCGACATTCGCGATCAAATTGCCAAATGTCACAGTCGCACCTATATTCCCCTTGCGAAACTTGTTTGAAAACGAAATTATTGCGATAATTAAACTAATTTCACCGAGTAATTTTAAATAACGAATGAGAATATCGATCCTTTTTGGTTTAATAATAATTATTACATATGTACGATATAATCCGTTGTCGCAGATATACGTAAAGATAGAGCTGCTTTGTAATATTCAAGATTTTACAGATTTACCGTGCCTATGCAACAAGGGCGAGATTGTAATGTATTCCCACGCTGATTCACTCAATCAGGTGGAAATTTTATCGAAAATAGCTTTTATCGCGCTTTTATCGTGCTATCTGGTATCGTTGAAATCTTGAAGAGAAATCTATCTGTGTTAAGATCTGTGCCACGCAGATCTCATTGTCAGTTTGAAATAAATATAAGAATGTAGAAATGTGTGTGTGTGTGTGTGTGTATGTATGTGTATATAAACCGGTGCGAATAAATTGGTAAAGTAAGACTTGTATAATCAACTATTTATTATTATCCGTTTCAATTGTTTTTGGAAAAAATATATACATATATATATATGTATGTGCGTACGCACACCCGCAACATTCTTCATTGTACGCTACAATTGCACAGGTACACAGATATGACGGACATGCTGCAAATACCTTTTTGGCAGTTTCATACGTATCTTGTAGAAAAATACAATCTCAAAAAGAACATGATGCTTTTACTCGCCGCTACCATCGTATAACCACGCTAACGTTATTTTATTATAAATACACGAACATGAGGGATTATTTTAGCGCATAAAAAAAATGTAAATACAAGAACGGAGATTCGTATGATGAAGAAATGACACATATCTGTCGAGAAAAAGTGAGAGATGTTCCTACAAATCTCTACATTCCTATAGTCCCTGTATATATTAAAACTATACGTTAAATATAATATTTGACTTGTACACGCCGACTTGTGCCAAAGTATTGTCATACGTACGTATGCTAACTCTGTATCCACAGGCTCGCAAACTGAGTTTAGTCTGCATTTTAGCCATTTAGCGGAGATACATGGTATCGCCTTTGTATTAGTCTCTGCGATAGAATTTGTTATTGACCGAACCAAGATTGCAAGGATTGCAAGGATTGCAAGTGAATTTGCATGAAATTGACCGAGACTAAAATCATACAGGTAATAGCCCATATGACGACAAAAGCTAGCCAACACCTGCCTGAGAAAGGGCTTGCGAATTTGTTGACGACCCCAAGGCCGATAACTTTGTCGGCCCTCTTCCTAGCGTAATAAACGAGGAGCGTAGGTATTAAATACTGTATTCCTGCACCAGCGTACGAGCCTGTGATACCAACTAATATCGATAGATCTTTGGTAGTCATCGCGATCAGGTACGGTGGTACTACCGCCAAGATGGGGAAGACGAGTTTCCGAAGACATAAATTGTAAGATGCGTCCTCTTGAAGAAAAAGCGACTGCAAATTATTTCGGAGAGTAATCGCTATAATGGGAAAACTGGTACTCAAAGTAAAGACTGGGAAGAGGGCTAGGAAATACTCGATAAGTAGCATGAAAATATTGTCACTCTTGGAACAGTCAGCCAAGCCGCGTGGTCCAAAGTCCAAGGTATAAAGGTCATCCAAACGCTCAAAGGCAAAGATGCCAGTTAGAGCCAATAGTAAATAAAAGAGAGCGATTAGAGTGTAATCGAGAGCTAGAAATCGATTGAGTCTCGATTTGTTAGCTATTGGTGCAACCAACGCCGGTAACGAATGATGACACATGAAGGAGTAGACGCAAGCACCGAAAAGACTGGGAATTCCTAGAAATGGCCTGTATATATTGCTCGACTTGATTAGCAATCCAGTGTAATCCTGGTAACTTACCGGCTAGACTCGCGACAGGTGGATCGCCACGGGGGCCGTAGACAATAAGATTTTTTAAAGCGTACGCAATCATTATAGTGAATGCGAGCCATCGCATTATCGACGTCACCAATTGAAGATACTTGGTCTTTTGGACATTGAAAAATACAAACGGGCCCAACGATACTACAAACATGGTCTGAAAATGGAAAGGATGTAACAAGCAGCTACGCTGTCGTAAATAAAATGGAAATAACTTTGTAAGAAAATATATATTTTTTACCACAAATATTCTGTATGCATCCAGTCGATTAAACGTGGAGCCTTCCCAGCAAAATTCAGTGTCTGGTATGGTATCGTTGCACGTAAGATTTCTTGGCAAGTAAGTGCAGGCGACGTCAGCTAATGACTTTGCTACTGCTGCGCCATAAATGCTTAAATCGCCATATAGATATACGGCGAAACACAAATAGAAGAGGGTAATGCCAAATCTATTGAAAAAGATGGATGCCATCTGTCCCATCTCAATTTTCTCGTGAATGACATAATATCTACCAGCCATATCCGGACTGGTCGGAAGAGAAGCTACCAACGGAGTGTCCTCCGAATCTGAATTGGAAGGAGCAGATTCACCTATCGCCTGTAAAACCTGCTGCGAGTATTTCATGTGTTTAATGAAAGCTTGAATAGAAAGGTAAACATGATGGAAAACACTTACACGTTTCCGATGCTGGATACGCCTCCACGTAACAATAGCATTGGCAGATGCCATTGCTTCTATGACAAATGTAACCGTGACAAAACTATACGAAAGAAACAATTCAGTGAGAGACATATGGAAAGATAAGAATGGAGGGTTCTCTCTGCGTACCTGATAAAAGCCAAAACTAAAATGACGCTTAATCCAAGTGCCCATCCTGCTCGACTAAATACAGCGGGTAAAGTCAGAGCGCCTGTTCCAACGATGAGATTGAAGATGTACACGAGGCCGATCTACGATAGAAGGTTGAGGTTGAGGTTAGGGACAAGAAATTTAGGGCTGTGTCAATTGCCACGCGAAACGATTCCTTACCCACGTTGGATACTGATCGCTAATCACATCCTGCTCAGGCATCTCTCTCTCTCTCTGTCGAGTGTCGAGTCGAGCCAGCACTAAACTCGACTAAATTCGCAGAACGTATGCTCAAGGATGTCGCCCCACGTCGCTCTACACGAGCGCATTACGTAGCATCGCGTCACATCGTCTGAGCACACGCGAAACACAGACAAACGGAAGAAGGGGTTAATCACCGACCTATTCATACTTTTCCGTTGACAATGACACGACTGTTGACACCCACGTGCTTTCAAATACGATACAGTATAGTGGACTTTTCGTTGCCAAGATAATGATAATAAATTCTTATTTATCCAACTTTTCCTTAAATTAAACTTAATCAAGTTAAAGGAGAGAAGGAAGGAACTTGAAAAGAGACACAATCGTGTTTTTCAGACTTTTATTTTATAATCCCATAAGTCTAAAGTAGTCTTTAAGATGTGTACGTGTGTGTGTGAATGGTCTTGCGCAATACAATGGGAATAAATTATAATACTTTGGCTACGCTTACGGGGTCGAAACCGTGGTGCCTTTCCTCTTTTTTTTTCTTTCTCCATTTGTTTGAGCGAGCGTTGATACGGCTTTTCTGGATCAGACCCCATCGTGTAAAAAAAGGGGGGAAAAAGAAAGAAAGAAAGAAGACAAAAAAGGCCATCTTTTCCCTCAACGATAGGCAAATTGTAATAGAAAACAAGTAAAATGTCGGAGGCTTGTCTCTCTGCGCGGAATAACGTACAACGTATGTTGAGCTTTGACGCAAGCATCTCTTAAAAACACCGCACATTGATCGGAATGCATCGACGTTGATTGCCATCGTGTGTCGGAACTCTGTTCTATCCGCGGGAAGAGTAACCGACAATCTTTCCCACAACAGAGATGTGAACGTTTCTTGCTCGAATTCTCAAAGTGGCAATCGAGGTTTACGCGTTTATGAGGGAGGAGCAAAGTCTTCTTTTTCTAACGAAAAAAAAAAGTATTCTGTTCTCGCGTCGAGAGAAGGATGCATCTCGCGAGGGGAATGTTTGGCTAAATGCTACCGACTTGCTAGAGACACACAAGTTATTGAAATATATAATACAAGGGACTCGATATAAGACAAGGTAGAAAAAGGTATTTGGGAATCGGGGCACGATGTTTAAGATCGTTATATCGAATCAATGTGAAAAATGATTTAAACGAGCAAGAACGATTTATATCGGGTTGCCGCCGAGACCGAGGAACAATCGCGGGAGGAGAGCGATATATATATATATATGTGTGTATATATATATGTATCACTCTTTCTCTCTTTCTTTCTCTCCTCTCGTTTAATCGGACGCGTCTACCTTACGCGTATCTTAAACACGTACATCCGAATTGAAAGAAGCTACCTTTGCCCCGGAGGAACCAAAGGGCAATCGTCGCGGAAGTTGATGTTACGTCCGCCTGCGAAACGAGACAAAAGCCCCTCTCTCTCTCTCTCTCTCAAAGTCTCAGGGATCTCGGGGAATGATAATATGCAAAGAAGCACGCGTTTAGAAGCACTTCCTGTGGACGATGGAGGGCCCGGACTCGTCGTACTCCTGCTTCGAGATCCACATCTGTTGGAAGGTGGAGAGCGAGGCGAGAATCGATCCACCGATCCACACCGAGTATTTCCTCTCGGGCGGGGCGATAATCTTAATCTTCATGGTGGATGGCGCCAAGGCAGTGATCTCCTTCTGCATCCTGTCGGCTATGCCGGGGTACATGGTGGTGCCGCCAGACAGAACGGTGTTGGCGTAGAGATCCTTACGGATGTCGACGTCGCACTTCATGATGGAGTTGTAGGTGGTCTCGTGGATCCCGCAAGCCTCCATGCCTAGGAAGGAAGGTTGGAAGAGGGCCTCGGGACAGCGGAATCGCTCGTTACCTATGGTGATGACCTGGCCGTCGGGGAGCTCGTAGCTCTTCTCCAAGCTGGAGGAGGAGGCCGCGGTGGCCATCTCCTGCTCAAAGTCGAGCGCGACGTAGCAGAGCTTCTCCTTGATGTCGCGGACAATTTCTCGCTCGGCGGTGGTCGTGAAGGAATAGCCTCGCTCGGTGAGAATCTTCATGAGATAGTCGGTCAAATCGCGGCCAGCGAGATCCAGGCGGAGGATAGCGTGCGGCAGGGCGTATCCCTCGTAGATCGGTACGGTGTGAGAGACGCCGTCTCCGGAGTCGAGGACGATGCCGGTGGTACGGCCGGATGCGTAGAGCGAGAGGACCGCCTGGATCGCCACGTACATGGCGGGAGTGTTGAACGTCTCGAACATGATCTGCGTCATCTTTTCGCGATTCGCCTTGGGATTCAAGGGTGCCTCGGTGAGGAGGACCGGGTGTTCCTCCGGCGCCACTCGCAGCTCGTTGTAGAAGGTGTGATGCCAGATCTTCTCCATGTCGTCCCAGTTGGTGACGATACCGTGCTCGATCGGGTACTTGAGCGTTAGGATACCTCTCTTGGACTGGGCCTCGTCACCGACGTAGGAATCCTTCTGTCCCATACCGACCATGACACCCTGGTGGCGCGGCCTGCCGACAATCGAGGGGAAGACGGCGCGGGGAGCGTCGTCCCCGGCGAAGCCAGCCTTGCACATACCGGAGCCATTGTCGACCACGAGCGCGGCAACTTCCTCGTCGCACATGTTTGCTCTCTTTTACCTGCAAAGGAATGAATAATTTCAGCGTATTCAACATACTCAACATATTCAACATATTCAAGATGGCGTCGACAGGACACGTAATAAAGACGCTCGAGAAAATTCCAATAATTCCATCCACGTCGCGACATACGTGTCAAACGGATGATTCAACCAAACAGGGCCAAGATGCGAGAGTCGCGAGAGAGAGAGCAACGTTATCGTTAATTATCGAGACCGCACCCTGCCCTGCCCCACCCCGCCCCACCCTACCGCGCCCTATCACCGCAGCCGGTGATGGCAGCCGGTAATGAAAGCCGGCGATCGGTGACATTTTTCCAAAACTTTACCGTCAAATCTCACCAATCTTGGAAGCTCAAACTTTCAACGTGGATATGGATTTTCTCTCGCGGGCGTAAATCGATCTCGGCGATTGACGCAAATTTCACGTTACATTATTTTCACATGGAAACACTTTGAACGCGCTTGCGCGCGATTAAAAATGCACATTCACCACCTTCTTGTCGTTCGCACTTTACACTCTCTAATTCTAGTCTCATCGCTACGCCGACTTACGTTTCGTGGGGGGAAAAATGCAAGTTATGTACAAGTCTGAAGCAGCGAAACTGCCGCACTGTCAAACGATCCAACGCCAAACACAGAGTGTAGCCGACGATCGGCTCGCGGTGATATTATATGAACAGATATGCTCTTCTCTCTCCTCGGCCCCACCGCTCGACGCACGGCCAGTAAGGGTGGGACACCCTCGACCAATCCTGGCTTTCTTTACCATATATGGAAGTACTCTGACACAGAGGGGTTTCCGCAGCCCCCCCCTCCCCGACTCCCGATACCGCCACCGGCCACCGCCGCGTCATCCGGCGCGACGAGCCGGCGTCGACGACGATGACGACGATGTCGATACGCGCGATAGGTAACGCCAAATCGAAAAGTGCCAACAATTTACTTGCACTCGTACAAAATTTCAATCGCGACCCGATGGAGCTAAAGATCCTGTCGCGAGTCTATTAATAAGAAGGCAGCGCGCGTGGCGGTTGGAGCGGTTGGCGCAACCACCTGTCTCGCTTATATACGGCTCTCGACAACCTGTCGACTCGAAAAGAGAAAGAACCATGTCGAAACCGAATCGTTGAAAGAAAAGGGAAAAGAGCCGAAAGAGCGATGTCACTTACCTCTTTCTTAGCACGCCGTGAAACGATGCTTGCGAGCGATCGAATCGGATCGGATCGGATCGGAGAGCGGAACAACACCGTGCAGCACCGCGAACGCTGTGAGCGAGATCGTCCGGCCAGAGTCCGGATAACCGTGAGCCGCGAGCCGGTATCGCGCGCCGCACCGCGCCGCGCACGTCACCCTGCGTGGACTCGTCCAGAGGTGTGGTCGGCATGCGGCGTGCCACGTCCGATATCCATTATCCAAATCTAAAGCTATTTTCTCGGCCAGCCCATTCATCTAATGAGATTGGCGCGATTACGCGTGATCGCGCTCGCGAGATTGGGCAAGAGAAGAGGAATAGCATCTCGTATTCGATCGCGGTATCGTACCGATCCCACCGAGACACCCCTCGCCGTACAATCGACTCATCCGTCCAGCTTCTCCCACCGTGTCAATTCACAGCTCTTGCCATATATGGGCATAAAACGAAAGCAACGTGCCGATTGGTCCGTTCGCCGGCTAGCGGCTAGATTCTCCAAATGCCGTTTCAAATCGTACGATACGGAGAGCGTGTCTCTTGCAAGTATATAGCTCGCTTTAAGATTAACCGTCGTACGTCGCCAACTTTAATTCCCTGAAACTCGAAAGAGATTGACGCGAGATGCACGCGTATGCCAGTAAGAATAGCGAAATTTGCTTTCAAGGGTGCGGAATACGAGTGCGTTGCACTCTCTCGCCACGTCATATGCTCCATTCTCGTCCGTCGCGATATAATATACGGATCGGTTGATACGAATTATCAACTAACCGGTGCAAGGTTCTCCCGTTCTTACGTGGGAGAGAGACCTGGCTTCGGGTTAAATCGATACGCTCCTCCGATCTCTCAGAGTTGTCTGAGCACGTGACTGGCCGTATGCACGAAATTCGGCAATCACCGATTAGACTTTTCCATTTAACACTCGCACGCTCCCGATTCATCCACGATGATTCATCCACGAGATGACCGCTCAGTCATTTAAACGTGATATGATATTATCATCTGTCTCTTTTTCAATAAAATCATTTACTCCGTTTTGCTGGCGCGTCCTAAAGACCCAATGACCCGAGAGATATATCTTGTCCACCGTATAAAGTCTCGCGTCAAGGTCTTGAAGGGACCTCGTCGAGTCGCTACATCGAGTCATTCTCCTTAACGAACAATTGCAAAAAAATTAAACGTTAAACTATAAATACGAAAATGCTCCATCTCTGCAGCCTATAATTATACTATCTTGAACGATTCTACTCGATACAGTCTCGTAACAGTACTGTCGTACACTCCATTGACTCAGCCTGTACCACGCGAGCAACCTCAACCTCAACCCTGCGTTGAGATTCATTTATAATATAATATTCGACTGCGCTCTATTCAATGTTAATTACTCAATTAAACTAACCCAAGGCATCTAAAAGAGACGAATTAATTGGTAAATTCTATGAAAAAATCGGACGAGATTGTATCCCTGCTCGTTTTTGCAACATGACACATTCGCATGAATTAGTCATCGCCAGCCCTCGTCTTACGTCGCGTCATGCGAGTGGAACGTTACGCCGAGAGATCCGTCTTTCTCAAGAATTCGTGCTTATCGAAATTGTTTAATAACGAGAGTTAGTCAAGTTAAGTCAACTAACAATATAATTCATATTTTGAAACAATATCGCGCGATACTAGAGCATTGTGCGTGAAAGATAGTAGGGAGGGAATGAGATTAAGAGCTATTCTTCACCGGAAAGCTTTCTCGGATCTTACCATATTTGGTCCGTTTTGTCAATCTAGACCGTTATCTGCAATTTTTATATGAGCCTCAACGATAGCGCGATCGACGAGCTTGAAATTTCGAATCACGTGGGATTCAATTCAACCTTGTTTACACGACCTAAACTCGATAGACAACTGACAATCGAATGCGCTCACGCATACGTTATCAGCCATTCATGTTCTTGACTCCTTTCGGAGACTGCGATCTGCGATTAACGAGCTCGCGCGAAACAGTCAAGGATTCGAAACGCGGTCATGGCTTCGCAACTCAATCAACTCTCTGTATGTGTACTAGCCAAAAAGTCGGTGTTGCATCTTTCTTTCTCTTATATTCTTTGCGTTATTTTTTGCCTCGCATTTGCATCGATTCCGATTCGAGATTAGGTCAACGTTCTCTCGATGCATACAACGAAAAGTAGACCAGATACTGGGACTTTTATTGCGACGATGCGTAGAAAGGCGCATCATTTTTTGTACTTTCCGGAACGCACCAGACATTTCATTATTATTAGATCGAAATAGCAATGTTTCTTTTCGCTGTCCGCTCAATTATCGAAGCTATAATCATTTTTGTCATTTAAACAGAAGGAAGGAAACGCTAGCTGCATATACATACGAAAAAGCAGATTGGTTTACAGGATACGGTTTTAGACGGCAACGAAGGAGGATCGACCCAGAAGAAAACCTGCTCCTGTCGTGACACCTGTCTCCCCGTTATATACACAGGCATTCCTCTCGGAATGCAAAACGATGATGTAAGGCGGCACACTCCAATGCGGGGTATTTCAATGCCGACATCGCGATTATTCTTTTTCAATTGGAAAAGTAGCCGTGCGGTACTTCGTATACCGACGCGTACGTTGCTACGCAAGCATCAACTAAACTGCAATGACGAGCAAGTTTGCTAAATTCGCAATATAGGGCGTCTTGTCCGAGCTCTATGGTGTTTGGCGGTCGTGGAGAAATCGATGAGAAACGTCTGCAGTGGGCACCACGCCCAAAGCGAGGGAGGTGCACCGAACGCGACAAACCCCATGTAGAGATTCATACAACAACTCTATCTAGACTAGTTTGCTTTTTTCAAATCATAGTAATATTACAACAACCATGGTTTTCACATCTCGCACAGTTTTTACCACCTTCCTCTCTTTTCATTGCATACTAATTTCATCTGACAAGAAACAATACGTGTAATGAGAAACTTGATTCGTTTCCCACATCATCGAGGAGAAATTGGTCGTGCCAATAAAGTCACTGACTCGGTGGCTTGGTTTAATTAACCCGAGGCGACGGCGAAATGTTTTCACGGCTTCAGAAATCAAGGTCACGTACACGCACGTTTCACAAGGTTGACCGTGTAGCGCGTCGCGTGAACGCAAGCGTTTCTATTTTTGCTCTCTCTCTCTCTCTCTATATATATATATAATTAAATTAGTTTATTCAGCGAAAAAAGAGAATATATTCTCATTATAGATGAGACGAATAAATGTTAGTTTTAATTATGAAAAGTTGTCAATGACCAAATTTTACCATATTTATATTAGTTTGTTTGAAAGCATCTCATGAATTTAAGAGATGTTTCAAGTAAAAATTTATTATTGAAATAACATGTCAACTTGTTGAAGAATGCAACATTCGTTTGAAATCCGGGATAAAACATATCCTATGGCGGAATGTTACGCCGGCCGGATGTCGGTATCCTTCGTGATAAAAGCTAAATAGGACTTTTATGCGATAATTCTTTTATTCACGCTACTGTGGTATCTTTACTCACTAGGCAATAATTAGACACGATCCATTCATCGAGTGCGATATAAATTAATCTCGCCGTATAGATCTGTATAGACATATTATTTCGAGTGATAAAAAACTCGATGATATTTTCCTAAACAGCATAATAAAGTGTATATCTTTACATCGCGAATGCACTGGCACTAGTGCATTCAACCGAATTCGCTATCCTTCGAGTCACTACTCTCGGTACTATCCAGCCAATACAGAACAAGTTTCAGAAAGCTTTCCGAAAGATAACTTGAAAATTAATATTGAAATGTAAAATTGAAATCATTCAGAAGTATTTCTGAAACGTTTTATCGAAATCATTTATGATCTTTCTCACTGAAATATTTCAGAAATATTACAAAACATTTCAGAGAAATATTTCGTACGTAATCTCTAAAACATATATTATTGAAAGCTATCCAACATATATAACTTGGAAATTAATATTGAAATGTTATAATATCATTCAGAAATATTTCCGACGCATTTCAGAAATATTTCCGAAGCATTTAAGAGATATTTCTGAAGCATTTCAGAAACATATTTATGATATCTCATCTACGCGGACATTTCATGTATCTGAAAAATGTCTGAAATATTTTTTTGAAAAGTTTCATATTTCACTGACAGCTTTTTGAGAGCTTTCTGAAATATTTCGGTGCTGTGTGGGAAACTACCAACTAAATACGAATGTATTCCAATATCTCTCCATATACGAATATGTGTCAGGGTTTCCGTGTGAATTCCTTTTTTCAACCAACTTGTATTATATTGTATACTCATGGTATTATATCAACCAAGGTAAAGTAGTATTTATCGAAATGCCAATTAAGTTAAAATTGTTTTGAATCATTTATATCATTTTATTTATAATTTCCAAATACAAGAAATGCTATTTGAATTCGTTTATCACATTTATCTCACTGAAATATTTTTAGTCGGTTCTTATCTCAAATAAATAGATGCTTAATACATCATTTGTTTCGTTTTGTGTCTAACCTAACCATAGGATATATATCATGAAAGTATGTTTGACTTGTAATATTAGCCATAAGATTGCGCTAGTAATCGCATCGTCGATGAAAAAGAGAAAACGATAAGCGATCACGTGTAATTACACGCTGTATCTACGAGCCAGTGAGATCAAGATCAGTACACTCATGGGCGAATCCTTGATCCGTTTGTGCGACGGCAGCGCTACAAGTGGCAAAATTTGGACTCACTAACTTGTAATAATGTGCAAGTTTGTCTGGATAGGGATTAAATACATACATACGTATACTGCCTTTTGTGCGATTGGTCAATTCAGTTCAACACATCAAAATTGACCAATCCTAGTCGACTAGTCTTATATCTAGCATCGTGGATACAGGCCTTTACGACTACATACACTCGCAGTGTAAACCCCGCGTTATTCTAGACTAGGAACTTTGATACGTATATATATACATTACGTAGTGCTACATCATACATCATACTCGTCCTCGCTAAGAGATATTAAAAGTGATTAAAAGTAAAATTCAGTAAAATCTATCTATTGTACAATCGTATACCGTCGTGTATGTACATACATACAGTCGACTGTCTCTACATGTTGACAATTTACGACGAATTTGACAATTAGAGTTTTAAAACGAAGGTTAGTTTTCATCTCGGACTTGTCAGGTAATTTGCCTTCTTCAAGGATCTTCAAGGATTAGGACTGCAGTTTTACACTCAACAGTTTACACAGTGGAAACTTTCAAGTCAACATTTGATGAATTATATCGCAACATGTATCGGCTGAGAAAAGATCTTTGTTGAAATCTCTCGGTGGTGGTCGGACAAGCATCAACAACTATGACGCGGACCAACAGGTTTGTCTTTGTTTACGAGGTTTACGAGGCAACATTTTCATTGCGATAGGGATATGATATATGATTTGGATCATTTAGAAAGAGACGTCGCAACATGGAAGAAGAATCTAGCGAGTTTATGCCATTGAGTAAACGGATCAATAATCTTCATATCAATGGTTTGTCTGGTCTATGTGAAAGCACAGTGGAGAACACGGTGGAGAGTATGGAGACTGATTGGGAAAGTGGCATGTTTATGTTGTCTCCGAGCTGCTCGGAGGCGTCTCAAAATTCATCGCCCAGCGGCAGTTGTGGTTCAAGCCAAACCAACTTGACCAGCGATTACAGGCCGGATTTGGATGCGACGGAAAATCCATTTTACTACGAGAGCAATAAATTGCTCTTTTCCTTATACATGGAACGTATGCAGAGGAGACCAAGTCTGTATTGACTAATTAGCCCGTTTGCTGTACCTCCTCATATTTCCCCTTTCCAGTCCATCATTTGTATAATTGTATAATTGTAAAGCGTCCGACGTTGCGGCAATAAAAGAAATTCATCGTTAGAATAGTAATCTATTATTTTATGGATATTAAAGGGAGTATATGAAAGACACTGCAGGTGTAATTGTAGCATTTCTTTATTTGCTGTTTTGCTGCGACGTTTCGTAAGAGTGCGCGCGTGGAAGAATGAAGAAAGGTGGCAGCACGATCGGATTGAGCTGCAGTGGCCGCTAGGTGCGTGCAAGTCGAAGCGCTTCCGCGCGCGTGTTATATTCCGTAATTCTGTACCGTCTGTACGTACTTAAGCGGTCGCCAGACTGGCCAGTCGCGCAAACACGACAGGGTCACACAGAAATGGGAGACTCGACGGAGTGACCTTGGATCGTGCGCGAAAATTTGGCGGTGGCGCGTTATCCGCGAACAAACGTGTACAGTTGCGGGGAGTACTCGATCGGCAAGTACGCGCAAGCGCCACGTTGTAATCGCCTACTCGCAACGTAACCGCCGCCATAGTTAATATTTTAACCGCTGAAATGTTAATAGCGGCGTAGAGAGTCGCGTGTCCTCTCGATCGCGCGAGATTGCAGTGGACATCGTAGGCGCTCGTAAACTAGCCGGAACGCGAGATCGTGACGAGTGCGTCAAAGGGCGATTTCGAGATAATCCGTTCGAGACGAGTGGCGTGAGTTTACGCGTGGCCACCACCGTCGCAGTGGCGTCAGGCAGCTATGTACCGTTAGTTTGCCAATTTCTTCCTCTACCCATGA